CTACCATATAATTCCAGTACCATCTTGTGAGAAAAAACTGAAATGCAGCCCTTGGAGCTAGGGACCGAGTGCTTTCCCTGTACAGATATATTTGTACAGAATCGGAGCGGGTGTCAGCACAGAGAATGTGCCCTTAATATGGAAAGGATGCTGACACACACTCCCGCCCCCCCCCCACCCCCCCGACCTGGAATGTGGATTTTTAACGATGTGCCGTTTCCATTTGGAGAACTGATTATAGCTTTGTGTTGGGCGGGCGGCTGGTGGCTCCAAGCACAGAATCTGATATTACATGGGAAAAGAGTTTGAAAAGCAGAAACCCAAGAAGTTGCTTGTGCATACTTTCCAGTGTTGGTGCTGTTGCTGTGTTTATACATCATACAGAGATTTGTTTTAGTCAGAGGTGTCAGAAACACATTAGCATTTTCCTTTAGCTCATGGTTCCGAACATGCAAAACTTCAATTAGCGTTTCTGTTAGATTTGCCTGTTACTAGTAACATAACCATACTACAGGGACACTGAAAAGACTTTATTAAAGTGGGCTTGACATCAATGAGTGTGTGGATTATAAGGACCCCTTTCATGTATACCAATCTATATATTTGCCTCCAAGATCCTCGTGAGAGTTGTGTACACCAGACTGACGGAATTCCTCGAATCCAACTCTCTGCTTGACCCCCTTCAGTCTGGATTCTGCGCTGATCATTCTGTGGAAACGGCTGTGACCAAAGTATCCAACGATTTAATTGCTGCAAAATCTCACGCCCATTACTCTATCCTAATTCTCCTTGATCTTTCTGCTGCCTTTGACACTGTTGATCATCAACAGCTTCTCTGCATTCTCCATCATTTTGGTCTACGGGATACTGCTCTCTCCTGGTGCTCCTCCTACCTCTACCAGAGCTCTTTCAGTGTTTCTTTCTCTGACTCTGCCTTCCACCCCCCCCCAACCACACTCTGTTGATGTCCCCCAAGGTTCTGTCCTTGGTCCCCTACTGTTCTCTATCTATACCGCCTCCCTTGGTAAACTCATCAGCTACTTTGGCTTCCGTTATCATTTCTATGCAGATTACACGCAAATCTACCTGTCCACTCCTGATCTCTCTCCGCCCATCTTGACTAGTGTCTCTGACTGCCTCTCTGCGATTTCCAACTGGATGGCTGCTCACTTCCTTAAACTCAACCTGTCCAAAACAGAACTTCTGGTCTTTCCTCCCTCAAGTGTTAACACTCCTGTGTCCGTCTCCCGCTAAGTCAACAGCGCTACCATCACCTCTACGTCGCAGGCTCGCTGCCTGGGTGTTGTTTTTGACTTCAACCTCTCATTCACCATTCATGTCCAATCAATCGCCAAATCCTGTCGCTTCCATCTCAAAAACACAGCACGCATCCGGCCCTATTTAACGCCGGATGCAGCTAAGGTGCCGGTCCATGCTGCTGTTCTCTCTCACCTTGACTACTGCAATCCCCTTCTCAGTGGTCTTACTTGTTCCCAGACTGCACCGCTGCAATCTATAATGAATGCGGTGGCGAGGCTTATTTTCCTGTCCGCTCGCACCTCCTACGCCTCCCTGTTCTGTCAATCCCTGCATTGGCTTCCAGTTAGATATAGGGCTCAATTTAAAATTCTGATTTCTTCAGGGCTGCACCTCCTCTGTGGAACTGCCTTGCTTCTCCGTAAGACTTTCACCCAGTCTCCACTCATTCCAAAAATCATTGAAAACTCACTTCAAGAAAGCATATCAATTAAACTGTTAGCGGATTTTTATCCCTCACCCCCCATGACTCCTCTCCTGCAACTGTCAAAATTACCTACTAAGCCCTCAGTGGTGAATACTTTTCTAACAACCTACTTCATACCCCTACTTTTACCTTTTGTGTTACTATACCCCACTCCCTCTAGAATGTAAGCTCAATGAGCAGGGCCCTCCACCTCTCTGTTTCTATACGTCCAGGTGTCTGGTTACTATTACATGTCTGTTAGTCCACCCATTGTACAGTGCTACGGAATCTGATGGCACTATATAAATAATAATAATATATTGTGCTAGTGAAATCAAGAGAAAATATAGACATTAAAAGATATTCCTATGTCAAATTTGATTCACCTCTTTTCGTTGATACCATAGGTGTACCCAACACTTTGAACCAGTGTGTGAAGACAATTAACATCTACGTTTTATTTTAAAAATAGTAACTTAGAAATTAGGTAAAAAACACACATTGTTCGCATTATGATAACCATGTGTATAGAAATAATCAAACCAAAACCTTTAAAAAAGTGCCCCCATATAACTAAAAAAGCACAGATCGGACATTTAGTGCTGCATTAGGGCATTCTTGCGCACATCAGGGTGGCAACCATACAAACACCTACATTTACCACTTCACACTTAACATTCCAATTAGAGGTGATTTTGTAAAGTAAATTATTTTATAAAGTTTTAAACTAAAGAGGTTTTGGTACTTAAGTTGGGAAGTCAACAGAGATTTTGAATGGAGGATAATAAATGTATTAGAAAATGCTATGATAAAGGAATCAGAGAGCGCCAAGAAGCAGCCTGCAAGTGGCACCGCTAAAGGCACATGAGAATTTGTAGAGAGAAGTTAGTAATAGAGGAACCTGCCGCTGCAGTATAGAACCAATATCTGAATCCAAACTGAAGATGGTCAGAGAAGGATGTTAGAGCAAAGACATATTTCTGTGTGTGTGTGTGTGTGTGTTTCTGCACAATAATTTCCCATAATCTCACAGACAAAAGCAATGAATGAAATCGCATAAAACAGAAAGAATAGAAAAAAGAAAGGTGAACTTCCTCTGTCCATCTTCTTAGTACATTTATAAAGGAAAATGGTGCTATCTTGGTGGATAGAGGACGCTCATAAAGAGATAAGGGATAGCATCAACGATAGAATCAATACAAAAACAATGTTCATTAATTTCAACTATGAGACCATTAGAGATTGCCAAAAGTTATTAAAGGGATACTACAGGCATCAAAACAAATTTAGCCTTATTAAACCGGTTTTGTGTATAGATCATGCCCTTGCAGTCTCAGGGCTCAATTTTCTGCAATTTAGGAGTTAAAATCACTTGTTTCTATCTGTAACTGACACAGCCTGCATGAAAAAAATGGTCTCATTTTTAATCAGACTTTGACTTGCTTTAGAATTTTGTTTTAGCTCCTGCTCTATGAATTGAACTTTAATCATACACAGGAGGCTCATGCAGGGTCTAGGAGGATATTCGAAGAGCAGAAGATAATAAATTCTAGATAAATGATCCTTAAATATCTAAGTTATCATTCAGGAAGTGTTTAGGAAGGTTGTGCAAGTCACATGCAGGGAGGTGTGACTATTGCTGTATAAACAAAGTAATTTAACTCATAAATGGCAGAGAATTGAGCAGTGAGACTGCAGGGGCTTGATCTATACACCAAAACTGTGTCATTAAGTTAAAGTTTTTTGGTGACTATAGTGTTAAACACCAGTCAGGGTATCTGTCTAGTTTCCTTTACATGTATCTATTTTCCCATTTAGCCAATCATAACTATAGAGCTCTCACTGCCAGGCAATGAGAACTCCAACAGGGGTAGAACGGTTTATTGCTAGAATCCTGTTCCTACGTCACCTGATGGAAGCAATAAACAAAGGGAAACAAAGTAATAATCATTCAACGCTCAACATCGCATTTCTAGCTGGAGAAATGTGAGGTCAATCAAGGCACACTACAGTGATCAGAACCACTACAGCTTAATGCAGTGGTCCTGGGGAATATGCCCAGTGCCTGCAGACTCTGAAGTGTAAACACTTACTTTTATGAGAAAAGACAGGGTTTACACTGCTGACTAAGACCACCTCTAGTGGCAGTCACTCTGATATCTACTAGGGGGGCTTCATTGATTCGTTATGATATTTTCCTTAAAAAGGAGCCACCAAATTGATGGATCCATAAGGAATAAAATGGCTGCCATGTTACTGGTGTGTACAAATGAGATGGTAAAACATATGACCTATTCCTGCCAGCTGTGATAACAGGGACAAGCCAAACACCACTCATGCTAATTGTATGTAAAATAAATACCTAGCAACATAAATGGCATTTTGGTTAATGCATTTATATTTATGTGGCCTAAATCAACCACACCCAATGCATAGACTTTTTTAAAAAAAAATCATCAATTTGGTTGTTGGCAATGAAACTAAAAACATGACAATTTAACCCCTATATAGTATTTGCAAGAATTTTTTTTTTTACTTTAATGCAAGATTGGTGGAAAATTATTATGAGGGGGAAAAAAGAGCCTGTCAAGAATGTTTATACCTAAAACCCAAAAATGTCAGATTTCAGCTAATAACTGGCGTCCAGAGCGGCCTTCTCCAGAGAGAGCAGTTATCTCTTGGCTTGCAGCTCTTCAGAATCCCAAGCTGACGTGGATCACGCCAGACAGGCCTCTGCCCTACATCACTCTAGCTCCTAATCCTCCCTATTGCAGATTACCCCCCAAGAGAAGAGGAGTGGGGGCCTGCGAGAAATATATGTTTTAGAATGGAAGAGGTGGGAAGACAGTCAATGTATTTTGAGATTTTTCTTCTTTTCTTTTTTCAATATGTCTATCCTGGCTTAAATTATGCATGCTGTGGGGCAGTGTTACCATTACATCCTTTTCCGTGATTTAGAAATCAAGACTAAAGCATTTACATCTATGTGGTTTATTCATTTAACAGGGAATTGTGAGGAGTTTAAACCCAAATTGCAAAAACTAACCTAACGTTGCCAAGTTGGAAGAAGTGCTGAGATCGATAATGTTTAGAGCAATAAGGATATGGAATTATCTGCCTGAGGAGGGGGTTTTATCAGAGTCCATACAGATGATTAACCCCTTAAGGACCAAACTTCTGGAATAAAAGGGAATCATGACATGTCACTAGTGATGTCCCGAACGGTTCGCCGCGGACTCATTATTGAGTAAACTTTGACCCTGTACCTCACAGTCAGGAGACACATTCTAGCCAATCAGCAGCAGACCCTCCCTCCCAGACCCTCCCACCTCCTGGACAGCTCACTAAGAATGCAGCTTCACAATGAATGTAAAATGGATGCTGTCCAGGAGGTGGGAGGGTCTGGGAGGGAGGGTCTGCTGCTGATTGGCTGGAATGTGTCTGCTGACTGTGAGGTACAGGGTTAAAGTTTACTCAATGATGAGTCCGCAGCGAACCGTTCACGAACTGTTCAGGACATCACTACATGTCACACATGTCATGTGTCCTTAAGGGGTTAAACTGCAATTGGATAAATACTTGCAAAAACATAGCATGTAGGGATATAATTTCTAATTAGTGGGGTAATAGCGAGATATCTGACTGCCATTTTGGGGTCAAGAAGGAATTTTTTCCTAGTTTGTTGCAAAATTGGAAGCGCTTCAGACTGTTTTTTTGCCTTCTTTTGGATCAACAGCAAAAACAAATGTGAGGAAGGCTGAACTTGATGGACGCAAGTCTCTTTTCAGCTATGTAACTATGTTACTATGTTTGCAATGGGTAACTATTCTGCCCTTAATTGAAATTTGGTTTTCAATTCACTGTTTTGTAAATAAACACCTATGTATTTTTATCTGCACCACAATAATCCATTACTGCCGTATTATCGGATCCTCCAACTAGAAAGGTAGAACCAATCCAAAATGGCCTTGTGGACACCACCTCCTTCCTGCTCCACTCATGGCAAACGTTGTATATAGCTGTTTAAGCAAACAAAGATGCAGATCCATCAAGCACCAGACCCTTATTGTGATAACACACCTGGGAGTGACCTCATGGAATGTAAAATTACAAATGAAAATTAATTTATTAGTAAGCAAATCATTTTTGCTTTTCATCTTATTGTGGTCACAGTCCATGAGAATCCATAACTTGTAGGATAAAAGAGATCCCAGCAGCACAGACTAGAGTCACAGAGAATGTGGTTACAGAAACGGGGGCAGAATGTGAAAGTTGGGGATACAGGGGAAAACAAGCCATAGTCACACTGTTCCTCTATAATTCTAAGCTTTGATGAAGAACATGGAAGCCCCATAAGCCCCTCTGTACACTTTAAAACCAGCTAGAGTTCCATAAAGTCTCCTTCTGATTGAGTGAAAGCAGATATATCGCTGCAGATGGTGCCAAGAATGTGAATTGAAGCAAATTAAATACCTTATATTTTATACATTTCCTTTTTTGCATATTTTGTTTAAATCATTTTTTATAATGCACAAAAATGGGTCATCTTTAGTATGGAGTGTCCCTTAAACAATATCACTGGTGGCGACTGGAAGATATATTAAGCTTGACAAAAGGTAGCTCTGAAGCAGAGGAAAAATACTGAGAAAAAGTAGTCCCTACTTCGTCTCTGTATATTTTTGACTGGGTTGGCATTTTTTTTTTCTTTTTCAATTTGACAATTTTATTATAATTTTTTTTTTCATGTTTCCATATTTGTATATATTTTTCCACAATTCGATCCCGAGTGGGTGTGCGAGTATATATTGCAGGTTGGATACAAAAAGGAATGGGGGGGAATTAAAGAGGAACCATAATGCACTCTTATACATTGTCAAGCACTGTGGTCGGACATTGCATACTCCAAGTTTAAAACTTCTCTTCCGCTCGTGGTCCCCTATTCTCTCAACCCGGGAAGGCCTATCTCTCATAGACTTTTTGTGTCGGCTATACTGTACTGCGTCTTTCCCCGGTACAACGGGGCTGGGGGGTGGTGAGTGTTGTCCGTGATCTGTCCGATGGGTTGGGAAGTAGGGGTGGGGTATGGCGGGGGAGGGGGGGGATTGTGTTGAAAAACACTAACCTGGGAGACGTGCCTGTGGCTCTATCCATATAGTTCTCACTAAACTTTCCTCGTTCGAGATGATGAGTGAATCATATTTGTTTTTGGTTTTTTTGACTGGGTTGGCATTTCAAGGCAGCAAGAAAGAGCACCTGTGGCCGCTAGGAGTGAGTGCGGTTCCTGTGACCAATTTTGGGTTGGCCTTTCAGTGACATTCCAACACCGTCAACTTGAGTATTTCATGAAGATTTGATACTCATTTTTTATATAGGGATGACAGAGCCTCTTAAATAGATATACATTTTTCTTCAGGAATTTCTTGCTAAAGGGTTGTACGTATAGACATGACAAGTTATTAGTATTTTATCAGTTCAGATTATGGAATTTACATTTTGTGGTCATGCAGGCTAATGCAGTGGCAGTGCTGTGGGTACTGTTGCTCAAGAACCACAAACTGTGTTGTGATAAGCGAGCAAGACAATTAGTGCAGTCATAATCCAAAACGCTATTTGTTAAGAATTCGTATCTGTAACTCATCACCCATACATGCGCTAGATTTTTTGCTAACACCACTTACAGAATTATATAGATTTAAAAAAATAAAATAATAATCACTGCGAACATAGATCTCATTTTCCATGACAGATTTCCTTTAAAGAAAGTATAAAATATGTTGTAAAAAATATTAATGCATACCATCTGTGTTATTTTAGTCAATTAGTATGTGTTGGGTTAGGATACTGCAGGCAATTAATCTATATAGACATTTTCAGGACATTTCTTAAGATTTCCTGGCAGGTTCGAGTAAGTGCCTTTGGGATTTGTGTCACATAAGGCTGTAAACACCAGGAAAGACCTTTTGAGAGAGAATGTTGGTGACAATGTAATGCTATCTAAAAAGAGACAAATTAAGTTATTCAGGAGATGGGAAATTGCATTTCTAGGTCAAAATGGCTTTTCCCCTTCGCTATCACTCCCCCATCAAGGATAACTACTCACAAAAAGTTGATCCCCTTGCTTAGGTCGATCTCGAGGCACAACCTGGGGGGGGTCTCAGACACCCAGGGACTGCCCTGCAGGAATAGTGGGATGTAGTGGGCGCTTTTACGACAACCGGACTATACATTGTTATCTGTATACTGTTGTATCCCACAAGTGTTTGTCATTTTGTACTAACGACAAAACGTTAAAATAAGAATGTCAAAAAAAAAAATGTATTTTCCCAATATGTCCCGATTTAATGAATAATCCCAATAGGAACCTTCCCATAATTACTCACATAGGTAAAACGAGAAACAGACACATATGGAGTAGAAAAACATATAAATATATATGAGTGATGACTCCAAACAGTAAGTACAGTTGTTTGTATAATTACCACACAAGTGATAGTTGCCCTTTAAAGGCAATGTTATTAGGTGTTCACACTCACTGTTTGAACATAAGCGTAGGCTAGTTTTTGGGAAATATCCTACATTAACTAACACATGGGCAAAGTTCTACAAGGCTTTATTTAAGAAAAAACATCTCAGAATTTAGAAAAGTATGATAATCAATCTTCATTAGAACAATGTGTATCACAGTTAGGCTGCTTTAATGTTATATTGAAGGGACTGTCTAACTTGAAGGAAAATTGGAAAACCTTAAAGATCAATAGCTTAGAAACTGCTATTTCTTCCAAGAAGAAATAGGGTGACTGTCCCTTTAACCCCATGTCACGATTCCCTTTCATTCCAGAAGTTGGTCCTTAAGGGGTTAAAGATGTTTGTATTCTAATTGAAAAGATCAATGACATAAATGAGTTTCATTACCTCACCATTTCACATTTATTCACAGATATAACACACAGGATTTCACTAAATGATGAAGTGTATGAAACTGAAAGTGAATTACCAATTTTAGGCTAAAATAGCTGAACTGGATTGGAAAAATTCTCCCTATCAGTTATTTTATTATTTATATAGCACCATCAGATTCCGTAGCGCTGTACAATGGGATGTCTTTTAGAAATTCACTTGTCAATAGAGCCATTTGAGCGAATAATGGCAGTATTTGCCTATTTAGTGAAGCAGCCTGTGTTGCATATAAGGTAAAAATGACAACATAGATTTATGCTCTAAAATAATATGTATCACAAATGTCACAAGGGGAATATACAATTTTAACAACCTCTCTGGTGATGAAGTATTAACCATTTGAAGGGCAAAGTAACATGGTCTTTTCGGTTACATTGTCAGGCCCATAAAAGGTGCAGCTTTCAAACAGACTTAGTTCCAGAAATACCAAAGTGGCACTTTAAGAGTTACCAATTAAACAAGCTGGTACAAGCTTGCTTGCAGACATGAATATGTACAGTCGCTGTTACTGATCAGGAATCTAAGATGCTATCTGGCCATCTACGTGAATGCACTATTAATTCAGAAATATTACTCTCTTAGAGCTGACTGCCAGCAATGTTATCAAACGTGCTATGCAACTTGCAGTGTATTCCAGGATTCATTCCCCATTACTGGCAAAATGCTGCACGATTCTTGCAAATGTTATAAATTGACAAAGAAATATATTGTCACCTTTCACAATGCAAGTACAAGGGGTACAGTCCTGACATGTTAAATGTAACCCTTTTAGTGTTACAATAAAGGCTACAGACCTGCTAGTTTCAGTGATTAAAAAGGGGCTACATAATGTTCATGTTAAATGTAACCCTTTCGCTGAACCCAGAACAAGGGTAACAGCCCAGCCACATTAACTGTAATACTTTCAGATTTTACAGACCCATGTTTCATTCATTGCTAGAATAAGAGTTGCAGTCCTGCCACACTAAATGTAATCCATTTATAGTGGTTGCAGATCTGCTAGTTTCAATGTAACCATTTCAGTTCTATATCCGCCTTTCAGTTCAAGAACAAGGTTTGCAGACCCATGTTACACGTAAACCTTTCAGTGCTACAACAAGGGTTGCAGACATGCCATGTTAAATCTAACCCTTGTTTGGAAAGGGAATAAAAGTGTGATGTAATTTCCAGTTTATGAAAAAGTTCAGTAAGAAAGGAGTGAGACTCCAAAATCACTAATGTAGAACGTCAGGCATTTTATAGTAAATGTAACTCTTTCAATTCAAGGACAAATGCTACAGGTATGCTATGTTAAATGTTAAATTCCTGTGTCATATTAAACATTTATTGCCTGTACAGCAGATACACTTATGTCATGGTCACTGCAACACTTTAATTAATATAACAAATACTGCAGGGAATCACTGTTAGATCAGGCGGATGGGTGTGCCATGTTGTTACCTTTTTCAGTGATCTGATTAGGTCCCATGTACAATGTAAACCCTTTCA